GTAGTATCCAGAGAAATCAATAACCACATCAATTGCACCCTGGCACCAGAAACATTGGGAGTAACTTGGAGTTAGAGTCAGAAACCAACCTTGTATTCTTTTTTCCCTGTTCCCTGATGAAATTCGGGGTGCTGCCAACTTTCAAACAAAGACTAGGGGTAACATAATAGCAGTGTGCTGATATCTCAGGGGCTGCCACAAAGAAGAGGGAGTCAAGCTATTCTCCAAAGCACCTGAGGGCAGGACAAGAAGCAATAGGTGGAAACTAACCACCAAGAAGAGAAGCAACCTAGAACTAAGGAGAAATTTCCTGACAGTGAGAACAATTAATCTGTGGAACTTCTTGCCTCCAGAAGTTGTAAATGCTCCAACACTGGAAATTTTAAAGAAGAGATTGGACAACCATTTGTCTGAAATGGCATAGTGTTTCCTGCCTGAGCAAGGGGTTGGACTAGAAGACCTCCAAGGTCCCTTCCAACTCTGTTATTGTATTCTATTCTAAGTCCAGAGTGATGGGAAGCCTTGAAAAACAATCGGTGTTTGGTGAGGCTGAGAAATTAAGAGCAGGTATCAAGGAAACTAGAGATTCAAGAGCTAAGTCAACCTAGCAGCAGACCAAGACAAAGGTTGCTGAACTCTCCACCTCACTTTCTGGCAACAGAAAGCCATAGAAAGCAAAGTGCCCATACACAACTAAGAAGATGAGGTGTCTGTCAGGCAGGGTACACACACACACACACACACACACACACACACATATATATTTGTTTTCTGAGGTTCTCGCGGGTATTTGTATGTGGATCTTTGGTTGTTCGGGTTTTCTCCCGCGTAAGATTCGAAGTATCTAGGCAACGTTTCGATGAAGTCTCATTCATCATCTTCAGGCTTCTGTCTTCGGCTCTGTGCTACTCAGAGAAGCTTCACTCTGAGAAGCACAGAGCCGAAGACAGAAGCCTGAAGATGATGAATGAGACTTCATCGAAACGTTGCCTAGATACTTCGAATCTTACGCGGGAGAAAACCCGAACAACCAAAGATCCATACATACACACACACACACACACACACACACACACACACATATATATATATTATAGTAAATAAAATACTCATTCCATTCCAATTCAATTCTATCATTAATATTAGTTAGAATCTTAACATCATTAACATTTCTTTTCAATTGAATATCATACTTCCTTGTGAACACTTATAAACTTTCCATAATTAATTCTTTTTTTCCATATTTCTCTTCACTTATATTTTTATAAATCATTAATAATAATTAAAATGTTCCCATCATTTCCTAATTTCACTCTCTCATTCACTTTATTTCATTCATTTATTAACAAATATTCCACTGCATTACAATAAGTATTTTATCCATCGTTTTAATCATACATTGTTTCATATTTTCTAAAATTATTTCTAATTCTAATAAAGCAATACTATCTTATGTACTTTTGCAGAATCCCTTTATCAATTAAATTTTCACCCATTATCTCTAAATAGGCTTATACTTTCAATCCTTATACATTTTCCCTGTTTGTCTATATCTTGTTTCTGCCTTTTATAACTTCTTTTCCTTTCCTTCTTCCCCCTCTTCTTCTCCCTCCCCTTTTTGCCCCCTTGTCTCTCTACTTCTAATTCTCTCTTCTGTGATCCTCTCTTCCGTTGTTTCCTAATATTGTAATTATTTTTCAAACTATTCTTTTTTCTGGTTGTTTTTCAAATCTTAAACTTTTCACTCTCTTTCTCCCCTTTCCTCCCCCCGCCCACATAAAATTACTTGATCATTAAAGATGGCTTCTTCTTTGTTCCAACCTTCTTGTTCTACAAGCGTTTCTTGTTGTTTCTCATAGTTCCAGATCTCCATTTCTAAAAATTGAAATACAAAGCCAAAAGAACCTCTTCCTTCTTGTGCATCTTATTTCTGTTTTTTAAGTTCCATTTTCAGTTCTTCTAAAAGTGATGCCATTTTAAACACTTTTAAACAACCACCAGATTGATTTTAGTCATTTAAATCCAATAGCCAAAAATCCAAAAATCACCAAGTAATCCAAATAATCTAAAACTGTTTCTTCTTGCTTCTTTTTTCCACTTTCTTTTCCTGGGATTCTACTATTTTGTAGCCAATTTTCAGTTAAAAGGTATCTTTTAGGAATCTTGTTAAGGTTTCACAGTAAGTTCCTTTTAGTTCTAGGCAGTCTCCTCCATTTTTCCAGATCCCACCCTTTTATTCTTTCCTTTTCTCTCCTTTCCTGTTTTTAAAGATTTTTGAGTATCCAAAAGTCTTTATTATCCCTTTGACATTTTATTTTCAGCTTAAATGCCTATTGATGTCAAAGTGGATTTTTGTCAATTTCTTACTTAAATCTCTTAGCTGTCAGTATAAGGAAGGGAAGAAAAAAAAGCCAAATCCTTTCCCTTCCCTCTCTCCTTCGCTGCTTCAAACTTTTTGGGGGGAACAATGTTATTTTTTATAGTTCAAATTCCAGGGTACCTTACGTTGTTGCTTTTTCAGTTCAACCCAGTCAACCAAAACTTTCTCTTCTTATCTTCCTCCTGCACATTCTTTTCCAGACAAGTTCTTCTTTGAGGTGGCCATTTCTGACCACCGCTGCAACCACCTTCGAGAAAGGGAGTAATGGCCAGCTGAGGAGGAGAAATGCAGCTCTTCTCAACCCCGCTGGTGGTCTCTCCCCTCTTCACCACCTCTATGGGATGGCTTAGCCCCAAAATCCAGCCAGCTCAGGGCACTCCGGCGGCAAGCACAGATCAAAACTGCACATGAACGCAAATTTCAGTCCGTTGCCAAAGAAGCTCAAACTGGAAGTCCCCCATCTCACGTTTATGTGACACTAGGCAACTTGCAGTAAAACAAATAAAAACATATAATACATAATATGCAATTAAACAAATCCATATAGCAACTGGACACAATCAAATCCATTATCCATTATCCAGCATGGAGACCTGGATGTCTCTAACCAACATCTGGGTCTCCATGCTTGAGTACAATGCCAGATTTTCAAGGCCCTAGGAAAGGGAATGGATTGTCTGCTCTTTTGTGAAGATGGGATAACCAAAAATATTATTGTTTTCAAAATAGCTACTTGACTTCTTATCAATGCAAGAATGAATGTTACCACAATAATTGTAAGCGTATAATTTAAAAACATATTTAGAAAAATGCTTTTCTTTACACAGATACATTTTTTTCCAAAGGAAAACAATTTTATTTTTTGATATTCCTGGAACTCAAATGAGTGTAATATTTTGGTGATTATCATTTACATACCTGATGCAATAGAAATGTAAATGGTATTGATGCCTTCTGGCCTTCAAAGCCTAATTCCTTGGAATAATTCCATCATTTAAGTTTAAGAAATAGAGAAAGAACATTGAGGTCAGGGTGATTCCATTAAAGAAATTGAATTAAGTAAACTATTTCCACTTGTTTTTATTTCTATCTCTGTCCTATGAATTTGAATGCTCTGTGTGGTTGTGTGTGTGAGAGAGAGAGAGAAAGAGAGATTGATTTTAAGGGAATGTTTAAGGTAGATTCTATAATTTTATCATCTATATATATGTGTAAACCATTGGGAGTCCAATTAGAGTTGCAGTACATTAATAATGTAATAAATAAATACTCGTAACAATCCAAATTTAACAAAAAAATGAGAGTTTAATTGGTTAATCTCAAATTAATAAAACTTTCACAGTCAGTGTACATGGCAACTGATTCATGTGTACTGCAGCTGTGCCGTCGATAATGGCTGACAATAAACATGTATGTCACTTCACACAACTAGTATTTCTTTGTGAGTGCTGCCAAGCTATAAGTTTGCCAAATGCTGTATATTGCCAAGACGCTTACATGAGAACAACTGAACAGTGTGCAAACCAACCCAAATTTACTTGGGCACAGTGATCTCACCTAGATTCACAAACTCCTTGTTGTAGAGTTTGTATTACAAAAATAGTTTAGACGTTTTTAATTTCCTATTGTTTTCTTTTTTAAAAAAATATTAAATGCATTTTACAATCAGCTGTAAAAAGGCTTATATCTTCAGAATACTGGAATATGTGCCTATGTTTTTACAACTTAGAATTTATTCATGGTTATTTACAGCTCCCAAAACAAAATCCAGTTGAAGAACAGATATCCCAACATACTATTTTTCCTCTTACATACAAAAGATTGCATGATAAATATTTTTCTCATAATTGTACAGAAGAATGCACTTAAGTTTTCCTTCAAGACTGAAATATATCTTAAAAATACAGTATATGGATTCCAAATTATTTCACCAAGGGAATTAAAATTCTTTAAATCAGCATTTAAATCACCATTTAAATCAGGAGCCTCAGTGGTTCAGTAGTTAGAGTACAGTACTGCAAGCTACTCCTACTGCAATTTGGCAGATCGAATCCCACTAGGCTCAAGGTTGACTCAGCCTTCCATCCTTCCGAGATAGACAAAATGAGAATCCAAATTGTTGGGGGCAATATGCTGACTCTGTAAACGGCTTTGAGAGGGCTGTAAAGCACTATAAAGTGATATATAAGTCTAAGTTCTATTGTTATCACTATTGGTTAGAGTGCAGTACACTGCAGTATTTCTGCTGCCAACTGGCTGGCTGCAATTTGGTTCAAATCTCACCAGGCTCAAGATGGACTCAGTCTTTCATCCTTCCAAGGTGGGTAAAATGAGGACCCAAATTATTGGGAGCAATATGCTGACTCTGTAAATCACTTAGAGAGGGCTGTAGAGCACTATAAAGTATATAAATATAAGTGCTATTGCTATTCCTCAATCTTTCTGGCACTAGAGACTAGTTACATGGAAGACAATTTTTCCATGGACTTGGAGAGGGGGTGATTTTGTGTACAACCTAGATCCTGCACATGTGCCAATGAAGTTTTGCTTGCTTGTCTGCTGCTTGCATGCCCTGGTTCCTAACAGGCCATAGGCTGATACTGGTCCACAGCACAGGGGTGGTTTAAATAATGAGTAATAAGAAAATGTTCTGTTTTTGCTATTTTTTTCTCAAGCTCATTAATAGAATAGCTATTAGAATGTTTTTATTATAAGGATTTCAAGGAAGTTTTCTTCCTGATGTTCAATTCATGACTCATTGACTAATTGATTATGTGCTATTAAGTTGTAATTGACACTTAGTTCAATTCAGATTGCTTTTCTCCAGGATGATCTGTCATGAATAGATCAGGTCTTCCAATGGGGAAGCATCTCTTCTGTAATTAATTTGATCCATCTTTACAGCTGGACATCTTTCCTTTCCTTCTACTTTTCTCAAGGGGGCTGAGTTTTCATGCATCTATCGAAAATATAATAGCTGGTTCATTTACGTCTTGAATAAGAATTTTGATGTTCAATTTGTTTGATTTTTTTGTCTATCTCTTGTATTCTTAGGAGTTTTCTCCAGTTTTCTTTCCTCTCCTACTGCTAATCCAACGTTTGCTTCCATAGAATGTCACAGGAAATTCATGGAAATTCATCACTATTGTGATTTTTGAAGGCCTAGACACACTCTAATATTGCAATGTCTCTTCCAAGCCTTTTATTGATAGCCTACGAAATCTTAATCAGTAACCTATTTCTTGATGGTTGGTTACTTTACAGTTGATAAGCAATCTTATAGGGGAGAAGCTATCTATTACTTCTGTCAGTTCCAAGTCTGATTATTATACCTATTTCTCAATAGTTTAATTTTATTTATTTTTAATGGCAAATCCACTTTTTCACTGTACTTCTTGGCTTCCATTACTAGAGCTTGCACATGATTTATATTTTAACTATTATAGTAGCATCTTCAGATTAGTGTGAGTAATTGGGTATTTTTTCCTTCTAGTTTTAAATTCACAGTTCTGTTCCAAATTTTCTTCTTTGACTATAATACTATATGGTACAAAAAAATCTCCTCCAAAATTCTGAGGTAGAGACTACAGCCTCTGATATTATTCTCTTTATTGTCATTATTTGTTTACACACTCATTATTCTACAGTTCCCTGAGATTAGTATCTTTCATGCTGGTTTGGAATTACCAAAGTTGTAGAAAAAGTCATTTGAAAGGTATCAGAAAAGGATAAACTAACAGAAGGAATGCTTTCATACTGCATTATATCCTGCTTTGGCTATCTCACAGCTGAATGGAAATTACTGCCAGATTAGATTTCCAAACTCAATAAACTATATATTTACAAAATTGGTAAGATTAGTCCTCTATTTATGTGAAGTGAGCTGTGAACTTACTTGGCATAAATCATAAAATCTGAACAGAAATGACCAGTTTAGAGCACCTCACTTCAGTTGAATTAAATTACTGTTTCCTTTTCTCAAAATTCTCTATGATGCTTTGCCTCAGATCTGTGGTAGCTTGGGAACTCTGTTGCTAATAAAAATTATTTCAAAAACATACTCTCCTCTTAGTATGAAGGAGTTGGAGTAGAAAGACTGGGTTCTAAGCTTGATCAGGGTTTTTTCCCCATTTCCCCAAATTATATTCTGCTTAATTCCCTTGCAACTGAAAACATCAAAGCTTAAAAAAAAGTTGTTAGATTTTTGTGAAATTTGACATGCTTTTTTAAAACAGCAATCTAGCTTTCATATACATTTAATTACACCCTGATAATAAAAAAAAACCTATACTATATATTCATCACATGTAAAATGATGGTGTGGGGAGCTGGTTTCCTTTTCCTCCTTATTAAAAAATCCAAAATCCAAACAAGTTAAATTGTCCTACCTCCAGATAGATACAAAATGCATTGTTTTCTTTTTCAGAGTTGATGATCTCAACATGTGACTGTCTAGCTAATTGATTACCACAGCAAGCAGAAACATGTAAAATCTTACAGAGATTTGCTATTTTTTGCTAGTATTTTCTTTTTGCACTTCGATGAACATTTTTTTTCTGAACACAATTACCTATATATGTGAGAATTAACAAACTTTGTGTTTCCTTTATTTGATGTTAAAATAAAACACAGGATTAAGTACCTGTCATGGAAGACTGATGAGCTAAATTAATATGTTTAATCCTTCTCTAAATCAGACAAAATGTTTTTTTTTAAGTCATGAACATAGCAATATGCAATACAATTCTAAAAAAATTGATTTTGTGGAAACATATCCGTATTTATAGATTATTTTATAGGTAGCATTTCACAAATTAGGAAATCCTCAAAAATGCAATGCTGTTGTTTAATAAGACTAAAACATCTATTCAACTAAAGACAGCAAGGAAATACATATTTACATATTTTATCATGTGATAAAATTAATATTATTAAATGTATTTTAACTACTTTTATCACAAAACCTAGTAACTTATTTGCAATGAAAAATATTGGCCTACTTTACTCTGATTCTCAAAATCTGGGACATAGAGCAAAGCATAAATAGAAGGGGTGAAATGAAAGGAAAGGAAAAGAAAGAGGTGCACACTATTGCAATTAATTCTGAGGCAGTATCTATTATTATTTCAGGAAACTAAATCCATGTTTTTGCATTTAGATCATTATTAAAATGCAGTGAATATTTGTGACAATTTTTTTTCCCTAAGCTAGGTCATCTCTTGACTTCTAATCACTAATTTCAGGCCACAATCAATTTATTTTATTCCTGTTAAGATTCCTAATTGTTGACTACATACACAAAACTAGAGAGAACCTAAACGCATTACAGTATTGCTGGCATGGATAATCATTTGGACTAGAAGAAAATATTCTTTTTATGGAAAGTTGCTGTGTTTTTTAAAAGGAGACAGGCTTTGGAGCCAACCAATTTCTTGATAAAAGTGCCTTTCAACAACCGTAGATGTTCATACATATGCAGTCAATCAAAATATCTTCCTTCCTCTCAGTGGTGGGATTCAATTTTTTTTACTACTGGTTCTGTGGGCGTGGCTTGGTGGGTGTGGCAGGGGAAGGATGTTCAGGTATTCCCCGTTAGGAGAATGAGTGCACTCAGGGAAACGTACTGAGAGTGATGTTGAATAACATACAACAGGGTATCTATATGAATAGCATACAGATACACTGAATAGTAAAATGTAGGTTTTACGTCCAACAAACAGTCCAAATCATACACGCTTAAAGCAGTTAGTATCAGTCCAGGGATAATCCAAAAATGAAGTCAAGTATCATAAGCAAAGTTCAGTAAATGGAGTTTGCTAACAGTTGCAAGACTCACAGCAATCCAAGTAGAACGACGATCAGCCAATACGGCAATACAGAAAATGCAAGGAGGAAGAAACCAGGTTTCTGACTCCATCTTATGGCTGTTGGAGGAACCTCAGCCAATTATACTTTTATGATTCTCTTAAAGAGACAGTTTTAAAATGTCTATCCTGGTTTATATATTGTCCAACCCAAATAGCTGTTAGGTGACTTATATTCCTAACAGTCCCAACCACACATGTCTTAATTTTATAAATCCACTTACTCCCTATGGCATGCTTACCTGATGGTAACCTGGCATTTTCATATACCTCCAAACTTTGTAAATATTTCTGTTCCTTATCCATTGCTTCCTGCCAAGCAGCCTAATCCTTAGCAGGATACAGTTTCAGTTCATTATAGTTACTAGGAACTGTATTTACTTGGCATACAATACTTGCCTGATATCTGTCTGGTGGTCATGTTACACGGGTTGAACGTCTAGGCAACTCAGGGCTTACTGTTGGACTCTCCTGTTCTTCTACCTCCTCCTGTGCCTGTTCTTCTTCTTTAATGGTTATTGATGGTTTAACTATCTCATCATTAGGGACTACTTGGGTGTCAATAACAACATCAGTGTTGGATTCTTGTTCCAGTTTATGCCACCCAACGTGCTCAAGAAATTTAGCACTAGCGTTACAGTAAATATTAGTTGTGCCTTGATCCCAACATCTAAACGATCTATGGTTGGTCTTGTAACCTATGAAAAATAATTTCCTAGCTCTATGTTGCCCTTTCAGTCTTACTTGTGAGGGAATATGCACCCATCCTGGAGCTCCAAATGCATGTAGATAACTTAAATTTGGTTTTCTGCCATGCCAACGAGTGAATGGCAATTCACTGGTTGCTGTGTTCACCACATTGGTTAACACATGGTTGCTACACATTATGGCTTCACCCCACAGTGTTTCAGGCAAACCTGAATCAGATAACATAGTGCGAGCCATGGCTTGTAACGTTTGCCCTCTTCATTCTATAAATGAGTTAGGTTGTGGCCTGTAAGGTGCAGGATGTTTATGCTCGATACCAGCCAACTTTAACATCATTTGGAATCTGTTGTTAATAAACTCAGTCCTGTTATCTGTTACTAAAGTAATTATGTTTCATTTTTCTTTCTGCAAACCTTAGCCAACTAAAGAAATGTTGGGATGTTTCTGTTTCATTTTTCATTAAATAACAGAAATCGTACCGTGAGTAATGATCCATTATACTCAAAATATAGCAGGCACATCCTAAACTGGATTTCTTAGGACCAATTTTGTCAGCAAACACAACCTCTAAAGGTTCTTTCATCTTAAACCCATTCAGTCTGTTTACTGGAGTAACCATGCTTTTCTCCTTACAGGCATTACAGTTTAAGTACTTCCTACAGGGTTTTAATTTTACTCCCTCTGACAATTTAACAGTTTGTTTTAGCATTTTGAAATTAATGTGCCCCAGATGTCTATGCAGTAAATGTATACATTCGTCATGTGGCTTAACATTGTTATAAACCGAGTTAGCCATCTACAACTGGTCATCATGTATCACATATAAATCATTCTCTAAAGTAGCAGAAACACTTTTACCCTCTTTCTCTATTATACAGTTATCTCCCCTAAAGGTTACTAAATAACCAATATTAACAAAAAGCCCTTACTGATAACAAATTAAATATCAGTTTACATAGTTAAATGTTCGTTTGTACAAGAATATGCAGTACCTTCACCAGATGCTTTAATCTTCCATCCATTTGCCAATGATACATGTTGCTTACTCATAGACATCTTTACAAACCTCTCTATATTTCTAGTAATGCACTGTGATGCTTCACTATCAACTACCCACAAATCATGAATTGCATTACAATTACAGTTGAATTGCTAGACATAGCTAAATTAACATTCTTCTTGGTCTTCTGGTGATTACCAGTATTCTGTCATTTTCCTTCTTACAGAATCTAGCTATATGTCCTCTAGCCCCAGAAGAAAAACATTTCCTAACAGTATAAGCAGTTGAAAACAAATCTTCTTCTTGTTGGTCTCTTTCCAGCCTTCTTCTTGCCTCTTCTAACAATCATCTGGTTATGTCAGTCAATGTCAGTTCATTTCTGGTCAGAACTTCCAGTGAAGATACGTAATCATCATAAATTTCATCCAATGAGGAAACAATGATATAAACATGATACAGCTCTGAAAAAATCAGTTCCTTTTCATGTAGCTCTTGAAAAGTTCTTTTCATAAAGTTCAAATGAGCTAACATATCTCCACCTTTCAGAAGACATGTTCTAAACAGTTTATGTATAAGATGTATGTGTGCACCTACACTGTCACGAACGTAAATCCTCTTCAAATTCTCCCAACACCTAGCAGCAGACACTTCTCCATGAATATGGACTAGCTGCTGGTCACTCAATGTTCATCCAATTATACAAAGAGCTTGTTCATTGTTCCGTTTAAAGTCAGCTAACTTTTTGACATCGTTCTCATTATTTGGATCCCAAGCACTTACATCCGGTGGATTTTGAACTGCAGCCCATAACTCTTCCCTACGCAGAAGTAGACTGCACTTCATAGATCAGGAAACATAGTTTGTTCCATCCAACCGGGTTATCAGTGATAGACTTGTTGACAGGTCTTGTGCCATCTTTACCAGGACAGTAATCCACAATTAAACAGTAAACAGCTGTCTGTATACGGTACTGTGTCTAACTCTCAGTTATCTGAACCTGGTATGGCCTGGGCCCATAACCAGTGTTGAGGTATTCCCCGTTAGGAGAATGAGTGCACTCAGGGAAACATAGTGAGAGTGATGTTGAATAACATACGACCAGCACACATACACCGAATAGTAGAATGTAGGTTTTACTTTACTATAAAATCTCCAGTCAGAGGTGATATTTCCCGGTTCTCCAAACTACTCAAAATTTCCGCTATAGATTCTCCAGAACTTGTCAGAACCTGCGGGATACCACCTCTGCTTCCTTCTCTTGTTATAACAGCTTCTATTCATTTACATTTGTTTCTCTGCTCATGAAAGTATTCTAACTCCAAGTCACAGAATAAACTCTAAATGTCACGTTTTCATTATCAGCAATATTTTATTAATTTTGATGCTATCTTCTTTCATACTAAACTAATATTCTAATAATACATTAAGTATGATCAGCCCTAATATGCTCTCTTTTAAAGAGTACAACTTTAGGAGATTCATTTTTGAACAACAAAATAAAAGAATATCCCTTAATCTTTTATCTGCCTGTTAATAGTGAAACTTGGAGAGGCATCAAATTTTGCTCCAAAACATTCTTCCTAAAACCTCTCTTGTTATTAATAAAGGACTCTGTATACATGTGTGCTGTATTAAGCATATTAAATACTGGTACACTTGAAAGTAATTCAGTCATTCATTTTTTATGCTAGCTTTTACCTGCAAAAATGAATAAAGGCAGTTTTTTAAATTTTTTAAATTGGTTGCTTTCAGCAGGCTGTTGACAATATAACCCACTAACTTCCCTTATTCATTGTAAGCAAAATGCATTTGTAGCTATAAATAAATAAAATAAATCCCCAATACATATTTCAAAAGCATTTCACAAATCAGGAAATTACTAATCAAAAATTTTCACAGACACATGTGATATATGTGTTCATGTTTGTGTGTGTGATTGTGTCATCAATGCTGTGGTGATGATATCATAGGCAGCAAAATCAAGGGGAATTTTTTTTAAAAAATTAAGCCTTTGAAAAACACAAATTTTATCACTGTAATAAAATGTAAGCAGTAATAGGAATTAAAACAGCAGCTTGCTGTCTTAAATATTTATAAACTGCTGACAGAATGATGCAGTGATGAATAATTCTGGGGACTGCAAATAGGCTTTCTGATTCTATATGTGTGCTATGAGTTGCTCAGCTATTAGAATATGCCAAATTGCTACTATATTTTTTTCTAGAATTTGGACTATAGCTTGATTTAAAGAAGTTGAACAATGTAGCACACAACACTTAGAGACTCTATTTATTTATTTGTTCAATTTCTATAGCCGTCCATTTCAAACCAGTTGACTATGGTACAAATGGTACCTTAATTTTTTTGACTGGTTTTAAGAACTATATAATAAAAGAGTGTGTGTGTGTGTGTGTGTGTGTGTGTGTGTGTGTGTATGTATATATATATATATATATATGATTTACATAATAGTAATAACTGCAATGTTAATATTTTCTCTATTGCAAAGACCAAATTGAAGTATCAAATTTATTTGTATACAATATAAATGCTGCTGCTGACGTGTTGACAATAAGAAGTTGAATTTCAGTTAAATTCTCTCATTAATATAAATCTCAAAGTTTTAAGTCTTCAAACTCATTTAAAGTTCCAAATGAATGGGAGTTACATTTCTATTTAAGGGAACCAAATTCCAGAACCTTTTTATTACTAGCCATGTATTGTTACTTTAGTGACAACTTTAGGTAATGTTTGTTTGCTTGCCTTTTAATTGGAAACTGTTCCCTATAGATCCCATAGATCTGTATTTACTATGTAGAAGTCAATTCTCCTTTTTGATTTATTTTTTAAGTTTTAAAGCTGTTATAATTTTTAATGCTGAATGATGGTTGTATGTATGTACATGCACAAGGATGCCCTTTGTTGTTCTGTTGAATTTCTAAGAATCTGAACTGTGTAAGGTAGAACAACTTAGTTTTAATTACAGGTAATCCTCGAGTAATGGGAGCACTGAACTAATGTTATCCAACTACCAAACTTATGCCACACAATAACAGCCACACAACCATAATTTCACATGCTTGGCAGTGAGATTTATAACAATTAGGATAAAATTCAACCAAAATTCAACTTCAACTTCAACCATAGGGGACTTCATCTTCCCCAACCTTGCTATTTCCCTCCCATATCTGCCTGTTTGGCCTCTTGCCTTTGCAGCCTCTGCTATCCTCTTCTCCCCCACCCCTAGCAGAGCCTCACCATCTTCTTGTTTCTATGCTTATGAGATGTACTCAGCTTGACCTTCCTTTTTTCCCCCAAGGTTGCATGTGGTGGCTACCTTACTAAAGCTGGGGAAGAAAGCCTCACATAGCAATCAGCTGCCTCACAAAGGGTCCGGCAGGGCCACTAATCAGCAGTAAGAGCATGAACATCAATTGGAGCAGCAGAATCCAGGGAGACTGGAGTAGGTTGGGCCGGGCTCGGCTGGGCTTGGGACTTGCAGAGGTGGCTATGGCTTTGAACTGCACTATAGGGTTGGGTTGCTGAGCATTGATCCCAGGGCAACAGTAGCTTAATATTGTGCTATGACACATATACAATGTGCTATGAGGTGCTTCTTGCAGCCTCAGAGCTTTAGCATGCAAAGAAGGCCCCTGAGCCACAGTTTGATAAGCAACCCTAGAACCATGTGCAAAGCAGGTACAGAACGACCAAAAGGA